GAACTGGCTTTTGAAAGAAATTACTGCCAGCGTCACAGAGCCGGATTTCCATATGTTCTTCCTTTACTTTGACTGGAATAACGATATCGAGACCTTGTTGATCTAGGAAACCATGATACCACAGATTGATGATCCTGGTTTGCTAAAGTGAGACTGGTGAGATTCTAGCATTAGACAAGTGTCATCAACAACTTGACCATAGAGCTATGTGCAGCATGGCTGTGGGGAGCACAGATCACCGTGAGAGGCTCAGACTAACACAGTCCGTCCATCATGGCAAATTTCAAATGATGCTTCTTTATTATGTACATCTAATCAACAGTCTGCTTTAACTCAATATCCGTAGCCAGGGTATCATGCAAATAATGTTTGTGGTGTGTCTCTGTCCTTAAACCAATACTCCAGTGGCTCACCAAGTTCTGCCACAATGTGCTGTCAACTTTCGACCGCGGGTCTCTCAGAAAATTACTTCCATGTCCGCGTCCCCTGGTCGCGTGATATCATACATGAGAAGAGTATGATCCATGTAATGAAGAATGAGCCTCCAACGTCTCACCGGCGCTGTCTCAACACGACGCAGGTGCAGACCTTTCGTTCGGCTCTCGGGAATTGGAGAAATTGCTATGCCCAGGAGGCAACAATAAGGACGCAATTTCTTATAATTAGCATCCTCCGACATCCTTGGGAGTAAATGTTCGACCCGGAAAGCTCGCTGTGGTTGTTCCCCAGCGGGGGACTGAGTCAAGGTGATGAGCGCAACTCGGCCGCACATAGAGCCGATGACCACAAGAGATAGTTCTGGGACATGCAGCAACATACTAAGACGCTGCGCGAAATGCAAGTCCCAAGGCGGGTTTTCATTTGGCCTATGGACTTGCTCGATGATGCCGCGACAAGCCAAACTCGGGATCATAGGGTCTAGAGTGAGGAGTTCGACGTCCGTTTCGTTGGTACGTATGATGCTAAGTCTGCTGACCATCTCTTGGGACAAGTGTTTATTAATCCTGGCCTCGGTCAGAGATATCGACCGTGGAACGCTGTTGCGAGCTCGCGCTCGTTCTCCAGAGGTGAATGTGATCTGCTCTTCAAGTGTAAATTCAGTAAAATGCTGGCCTGTGGCTGGCACCATTGTCATAGCCAGGTGAAAGTCATGACAATCCTCTTCGATGGCCTCGTAGTCTTGTAAACGGCTTTTGCGTGTGTCGATTCTATTGTTGGCAGCGAAGAATGTATAGTCAGAATCGGACGTGCTCGGGGCCGGGTGCCATTGGTCGTAAACCGGGGGTTCCTGATAGATATGCTCGCCTATTATACCGTCCTCAGAGCCAATCCAATTGACAGGGCCATCTGAGCGGAAGTCAGGATGGCCCTGGAAGCGTCTCATGATCTGATGGTGAGCAGCATTGTCTAGAACCTCAATTAGGGTCCGCGATATGTCAAGCAAACCCCCTGGCTGCTTGAACACAGGCCCGATCCCATGCTGAGTGCCCAGTGCTTCCTGAATTGACTTGGTTTGCTTGAAGTGTGTCAATGAGAGTGGCATTACTCCCCAGCCCCTGGCTGGCTGATGTGCCGGCAAGGTTCGCTGATATAATCGATCATAAGGCGGTACACGAACGGGTCGACTGGCGATTAGCCAGATGTCCACCATCCACAGCACACCACCGATGTCCACCGCCGCCACTTTGTCAGCATTGCCTTCTTCATCATCACAAAATGCAACGTTTGGGAGATTCTCTGCATCGCTGGCAAGAGACAGCACTATCCTCCAGTTTCGATTTCGAGATCTCAAATGCTTTTGAAGTTTCCACGCGGCTTTCCTCGCGTCCATCCTCGAGTCCTGCATATGAGAGGTTTCTGGGACATGTAGATCGTGAGGTAGCCACGGCTGATTCCCATCAGCGCTGCCATCCATTTCATCGAGATCATCCTCTCGTTTCTGGTCGGCAAGCGCGAAAGCAAATACCGTGATTTCGTGATGGTTGGTACTAACAGCGATCAGGCGGGACTGCTTGTGAATAGCAAGACCCCAGGCAGAAATACCAACATTCTCGTGAAAGAAAGGCCTTGGGGCTCCTCGAGAGAGGCCTCGCCGAGGAGACGATGGTTGGTCGTTCTTCGAACTACAACGCTCAATGTGCTTAGCAATCCTGCGCGTGTAATAGCCAATGACGTCGCCGTCATCAGTCGCACCAAGAAGAACCTCTTGGTCACCGAGCTCTCCAAGGATGATGTGATTGAACTGGTGCGGTCGCATGCGATCAAGGTATCCTCCTACCATCAGAGCTGCCTTACTTGGTCGAGGCTGTAGGATAAGATCTGGCTGTCCTAGGATGCTAGGGGCTCGTTTAGGTTGAAAGACGTGGATCTCCTCCCGATACGCCGCAAAGTAAAGGTTGTATCGCTGTGATAGAACGGTTAGATTTAGCCTAGCTCGAGCCATGCGTGGGAAGCTGGAATCGTCTTCTGAGGACATGGACATGGAGTCCATGTCTATGGCGACTCCATCTCCCAAATCCATGCCGAGCACAGCACCGAGCTCTTCGACCTCGTCGACATCGATATGCTCATCCTCATCGCCTTCATCCTCCATAGCATCGAAATCGTCATCCTCATCATCCACGCCTCCTGCAGTTCCCCATGGTTCCTGAAGCATCAGTTGAATGCCTTCTCGGACGTCAGGGCCGAACTATTGGGATGTCAGCTTCGATGTGGCCAGAGGGACTTCTTCAGATTCTGATGGTAAAATCCGGATACTAGGAGCTTTTTCATAACTTTGTGGCAGACTCTTGGCTCCTGTCGCTTTGGCAAGCACGGCGCTCAATGTGACTCGATTCGTCAAACGACATACTAGGACAGAACACTCTCGCACCGTAAAGCCAGCAGCTGGATCCCAGAAGAACGTGCAAATCCAGAACAGATCATACAGAGGAATAGAAATAATGCGGCGAATCAGAAAATAGAAGTCGAAGAGCAGGACTTACTCGGCTCTCAGCAACCTGAACACCACATCGTTGCCCGACGCTCAAGGCATCGAAGCTACGAGTGCCGACCATGATCTCGTCGCTCCCTTCAGTACACAAGATCTGGAAGGACTTATGAACTGCAGATTTGAGTAAGGCTACATTATGCTCTGGCACGAAGAACGAGAAGGCTCTGAGTGATGATGGGCAGTGAACGATGAAGCTTGGAGCTCCTGTCTGTGTCTGAGAGATGGATGTCGTTTTCATGATTGATGATTGACGATAGCTAACTGTTGGTTACTGGTTACTACCCCACCACAGTGGGGTACCCAGGTAGGTGTGTTACCTACCTTCTGGGCACTGACCATAACGGAAGGCACGAGTCGAGTTGAGGGGTAGCTTTATTGATTAAAGCATCTGTTAGCTGGGCTCATGACTTATGAGGCGAAGACTTTGCTTGAACAACTTCAAAGTCAATCAATCTCCCTTTCTAAGCCTGACTTCTTAAAGAAGAAATCATGCTGTCATAGCTGCAGCGATGTTCCGTGCGTGAGTTTGACAGGCCTCATCAGAACAAACAAGAGTTTTATATTCCACCCAACACCTTTGGCTCTGATAATCCTTCTTAACTCATTTGAACAGTATCAATTAAAAACACGGATCGCGGACATAAACAGTAAAGATAGTAACCATACGAAATCCGAAAGACTCGGGGAGGTCGCCTGTCTGATTGACAGAAGCGAGGCAGTCGACACAATTACTGATACCATGTGTAAAAGCAATAGTCGTAGATCTGTTGGTTCCGCGGGTGTCCCTTTGGCCAGACCGCTATAGTATTAGAGGCATGCTCTTGCTTGTCCTTGTTACGAAGCAAGGTTGTGGAACGCCGGATGAAGTTGGAATTATATAGCAAACTACCAACTGCAACTGTCTCGGAGCTTCCCGACCGTCGCATCTCTTCTCCGTTGCCCTGCAGATAAGAGACCAAGGATGCCTTGTCAAGCACAGATATATAGAAATTGGTCTTTCGCGGCAACCGACACATTGTTTGAATGACCAGACTATCTAGGTATCAACTCGCCCCGGGGCCAGCTTGTGTCTAAAATGCCGGATATCATTGGGTCCAATAGTGAAGGCATTGCCTAGCCATGGTTGATTTGCATGTGTTATCCACATGCTTCATCTGGCAACCGAGACAACATGGCGTTGCGCAATGTTCTGGGCTTAGGTCCCTGCATCGAAGACGTCACGACTAAGTACAACGAGAAATGGGACAAAGCAATGAATGGCTCGAGTGCTATTCAGTACTCCGACTGTTTACAGAGCACAGATCAACAATCATCTCGGATTTTCATGTGCTAAGACCATGTATAGTACTTCTCCTGTATTACTGCGTCATTGGCAATTTGCGACGGCATGTTTGAGCCTGTGGGTGCAGTGATGCGCGAAGAAACCGCAGTCGAATTGGCTGTGTGTGATTGGTTCCCTCCGTCCGAGAGCACGAGGCCAGAGTCTGCGCTAGAGGCCCCGGCACGGATGAGAATTGGCTGAAGTGTCCCTTGAAGCGGAGATGTGGAGAGAGGCTCTCACTAACGTAACGTAGCTGAGTCTGGGGGGCGCCGCCCACCTGCGACAAGCACTCCCACTGTATTGTATCACGAGGGGCGGCACCGCTCTCCGTTTCGCCTGCTGCCCGCATCCAGCGAACAAAGGCCATACCTCTCCCCAATTTACTCTTCTCCTTGCAAAAACAAACAGTCCTGCTACCAGTATCATCTTTTACAACTTCTCTAACTAGTCATTCTGCCTTTACAGAACGCCATCCGTCACAACGTTGGTTCAGCTGTCGAAAAGATTGCAGGCTCACTCTGTTAGGCCGCCGCCTGCATGTGATTTCCATCTCAGCCACCCACGCAGGCTTGTATTCGAGTCACGACAAGGTCCTGTTGTAGCACAAGGCAAATAGCTGGCTTGGAAACGACAGCAAGGAGGCATCGTTTGCCAAACATCACACACATTCAATCGCATCCGTTCACAATGACGGCGCCGAACATCACGACGCCCGATATTCGAGGCCTATTGGCCCCTCTCCTACCTTCGCTTCCCGCGGCAGCGCTGTCCACCACGCCCGCCACAGGCAGCCTGCCTCTCCTCTCTCCCATTCTACGACAGCGTGTCAAGTTGTTCTCTGCGTCGAGTACGGACCCGTGGATCAAGTTGTTAACCTACGACACGGCAAAAGCCGCCAAGCTGCCCGCGGCTGTTCGCAACGAGCGGCTGGAGCCTCATCCGGTCTCTGGAGAGGTCGAAATCGATTGGGATTATGATGTTCAAACGCAATACCGACGGCTCGATAAGGAGACTCTCCAAGCACTTGTGGTGCTTGAGGATCTAGAACTATTCTTCCGGCTCGTGTACTGTGTAGGAGATCAGGAGGGCGGCGGAGACGGTTGGAGAATCGGCGAAGTCAGCATTCCCGACAAACCATCTCCGTTCGCGTCTTTCGAAGGCAAGTCGAGCATCGAAGAGGCAGAACGGGCTTTTCGGGGAGAAGCGACGAAGCCGACAACAAACGGAACCGGTCACACGAACGGTGCGCATGCACATCGCGCCGAGGCTATGGACGAGGACGAGGACGATGACGACGACTACTGGGCTCGATACGACGCAACACCGGCTCGGACACCGGCTGTGAAGCGGTCGCCTGCTCCAATGTCAACACAAACCTCACAAGCAAATGCTCACCACAGCACGTCTGCCGAAGACGCGTACTTTGCTCAATATGACTCCGTTCAGCCTGCGATGGACAACCACGATCCCGACGAAGAAGCCAATGCAGCAGATGTTGCTCCACCGCTGGGACTCGTCCAACCTGTTGCATCCAATACATCGAGCGGGCCAGAGAAGGTGGAAGAGGTCGACTTGAACGAGACGACGGAATCATGGACATTAGCACCGTCGCCAGGTGCAAGATCAAACGAGGACGAGGAGAGGACGGCCAGCCTTGCGCACCCTCGACCTGCGTCGAGCGCAAGTTCCAACGGGTCGGTCACGATAGCCAAGTTCGAAGAGCATGCGGCGAAACGGGAGCAGAGCGAGTTTGGTATCAAGCAGCACGTATCCAGGAGCATTAGAAGTCTGTTCCTGCTCTCGCGCGCCGCTGGGATCGACCGCGAGGAGTTCGAGAGCCTCGTCAAGGCGGAGCTGGACATTCTGGGTATGGTTGAGCATGACATCTGATTGACGACTGCAGAGCGTTCGATTTATCTATTTGGCGTTGTTCGGCTATTGCATCACTGGTGCTGGTGGCATGTCTTAGTATTGTGTGGGGAGATCCGTAGCGTGCTTTCTTTCCATTGCCGTCCCAAGGGATGGTTGATTTGCATCAGTCCAGGCGTCTTTGGGGAAATGGACCTCTAAATTGGATACCATTATATCTTAGTCCTAGTATAGGAATTGAGCATTTGAACAAGAGAAATTGAGTATGACTCTCGAGAACCAAGCCGATCAGAAAGTGGAAGAATGATTAGAATTCATCACGGTGCGAATCTGTTGACCGCCCAACAATTCCAAGGTGGCATGTTTGCAGGCGAGCCACATCCAAACTTGTAGTAACTAGAATCCTCAGCTCCAACTCGAGTGCATGATGGAATTTGTTAAGACGGTCTCAGCCATTGTCAATCTGTGCCTCGGCCCCTCTGAACCCCTCCATCAACACATATGCCCCTCCATTGTCAGTCTCAAGAGCTCAGTTACTTTCTCATAAAGCAGTTAGGGTTGTAGATTAGGAACAACTATTGACTCTATAATGAACTCAATATAGATCATATCTGCATCTTCTTACAATTCTATATGAAGCTGAATGTGGACCAGTCGCTAACGATGCCAAAGCTCCCTTACCTAAGCCTCTTTAAAGGAGTACAGAAGGGTCTTCTACCAATCACGTCCATATATTTACCCGTTAACAAGTGTAATATTCTCAAACATACACAGATGCGCGAGATGATCAGCCTGGATTTCCTCCCAGCCATTCAATTTGACTTCAAAGTTACCACACATGTCTGTTCATTCATAGTTGGAGAGTTGAATAATATAATTGGTATTCTATTTTGAAAGCGCGTACCTACCTAGCTCGGAGGCTTGGTGCCTGCTTCACAACTTGTATTATACCTCGCAAAATCAACATTCTACCTCCCTGACGTCTCGCCGGCAAGCCTTCTTTGGCCCGTCTCTACGAGATGGCACTTAAAGCTGTGGATATCCCTACTTTTGCTCGCACGCAGCTTGGGCTTCTCGACGAAGAACTCAAAATTGAAATTGCGGAAACAAGCAGCCTCGTGTCTAATCACAGCCCTACGGCGCTGCAGAGAGCTGGTGTCGCCATTACAAATCTGGTCGTCTCCTCACAGCGGACCGGTCTGGGAGGCAAGACTGTGTTAGAACTGAGCCCTGATAGTGCCACCTCAGGCACCGGCGAGCTGCCTGAGCACGGTATTCGGACTGGTGACATCGTCCTGGTCAGTGAGCAACCGGCCGGTAGTGCTAAGAAGAGAGAAGTCAAAGACCTAGAGAAGAAGGGTGTCAAGGGTGTCGTGACCAGGGTACGCAGGGGAGATGTCGGTGTCGCTCTTGACGATGAGCGCGATGATTCTGTCCCAGGAGGCCGGGTGTGGCTGGTCAAGCTCGCAGACGATGTTACATATCGAAGGATGAACCAGACCATGGAAAAAATGGAGAAGATGGGCGAGTCAGAGTATTCGGTATTCACGCGCGTTCTCTTCGGGTTATCTACGCCGTCACTTGTCGCGGCAGACCTCACTACAGATCCAGAGTTTGGAAAGATTGAATGGATCGATCCCACACTGAATGACTCACAGAAAGATGCCATTCGCTTCGCTTTGGCGTCGAGAGAGATCGCTCTCATTCATGGACCTCCTGGAACGGGCAAGACACACACATTGATCGAACTGATTCTACAGATGATAAAAAGAGGATTGAGGATTCTCGTCTGCGGCCCATCAAACATATCCGTTGACAACATCGTTGAGAGGCTGTCTCCTCATAAGATCCCCATCCTCCGGCTTGGCCACCCAGCTCGGCTCTTACCGTCGGTTCTCAATCATTCTCTAGATGTCTTGACACAAACCTCCGAAGCAGGCGCCATCGTCAAGGACGTCCGGTCTGAGATGGACTCAAAGCAGGCCTCGATCCGCAAGGCCCGAAGTGGCAAGGAGAGAAAAGCTATCTACGCTGATCTACGAGAGTTACGCAAAGAGTATCGCGAACGGGAGAGGAAATGTGTGAGCGATCTCGTGCGCGAAAGCAAGGTGGTACTGGCAACCTTACATGGAGCGGGTGGCTTCCAACTCAGACAAGAAGAGTTTGATGTTGTGATCATTGATGAAGCGAGTCAAGCTCTCGAGGCCCAATGCTGGGTTCCTCTACTCTCTGCGAAGAAGGCAGTGTGCGCAGGAGACCATTTGCAATTACCACCAACCATCAAGTCCCTGAATTCGAAATCCAAGATTGAGAAACCCAAGGATAAGACCAGTTCGGGCAGGAGTACGACCTTGGAAACCACACTTTTCGATAGGCTGTTAGCTCTCCACGGCCCGTCAATAAAGAGGATGTTGACAATCCAATATCGGATGCATGAAAAGATCATGCGGTTCCCTTCAGACGAGTTGTATGAGTCTAAGCTAGTTGCAGCAGACTCCGTCAAGGACAGACTTCTCAAGGAACTTCCCTATGAGATAGAAGATAACGACGACACCTGCGAGCCACTCATATTCATCGATACACAAGGAGGATACTTCCTCGAGAAAGAGGAGGAGGAAAGCAACACAAAGGTGAAGGCATCACTCCATGGCGAGAGCAAAAGCAATGAAATGGAGGCCGCACTTGTGAAACAGCATGTCCGGAGCCTAGTAGACGCCGGCCTCAAGCCGGATGACATTGCAGTCGTGACCCCATACAATGCCCAGGTACGCCGCAACCCCCTCATGGGAGCATTATTGCATTGAAACTATAGATCATGCAAGATCCAGGTTACTGACACGGGACGAGGAATAAGCTCGCATTACTTGCCCCTCTCAAGGAATCCTTCCCTGGGATTGAATTGGGAAGCGTCGACGGTTTTCAGGGTCGAGAAAAAGAGGCCGTCATAGTGACTTTGGTGCGGAGCAATTCTGCAGGCGAGGTGGGCTTTCTCGGAGAGAAGCGCCGGCTCAACGGTAAGTCCTCACTCCACGACAAATCCTGGCACACGACCATGAGCTGAATTATAGCATCAGTTGCAATGACAAGGCCGAAACGATCACTCATAGTCATCGGCGACTCAGAGACAGTAAAGAAGTAAGTGAATAAGCTCCGTTACTTTCTTTGGCAACCTCCGTGGGGTTACCAAACAGTTGCACAGATGTTTTCGTTCCCTGAGACGCTATTGCCTGCAAAATATGTCTGACCTCGTCCGTTCTTACAGAGGAAGCAAGTTTCTGAAGAAGTGGATGGATTTCCTCGAAGACAATGCAGACCTCAGATACCCGGACGTGTCGTCGGTGGCATCCTAAACATGCTACAGGATCAATAAGTCACATCAAATAGGGGCAGATATGGAAGGCCACACTCTCGAGAGATCCGTGACCCCCACTTTGTTGCTGGACAATATAGAAGGAACCAAAGAAAATCTAATCCTGGAACACACACGGTCGTCTGCCCATCACCACGGTAATCCATCGGTAGCCTCGGGGCATTTCCCTGGTTGTTCATCTCGCATCTGCAAGCCGTAGCATTTATCCATGTCGGTCTGACAGTTGAAAAGCCCTAAGAACACACTGACCATCACCTGAACTTCCTTTCTTAAAAGAAGCAACAGCAGACCCTGGCCCGGCTTGTGTTTCAGGTTGCTTTCGCGGGGACTGTGCGCTGGGGCCCCTCTGTAATATCCTGGGATCCTGGACTGAAATCGCTTCGCCGCAGGGATCTCGCGCGGACGATTGCACGAGTGAAGATGCAAAGCAAACGGAGACACAGTGAGCATCCCTTAGAGTCACATTCGTGTTCTATGAGCTGTCGAACGTCGCATTTGTTTGTGATGGCCATTTCTCCCTCACTGATTTACAACCAAGAAACACAAGATAACCGTGCATCCGGCGTTTCGCTCACAGAGAGATTCAGGGGCGTCATCCAACATGAGAGGCTGGAGAGACGCTCTTCAGGCAACGCAGCCGTAGGAAGAGAAGATTTCCATTCGCGAGCATGCATCTTAATTGACTCCTTAATACACCGTCTGCAGCTCTAGCACAGCTTATCCGAGAGAATGTGCGAGGGGATTGGTGGTCGAGGTGCATTGCAGAATGCAATTCTAGCGCATCTTGGGAGAGCTAACGCGGGCACAACGGCGAATCATTGAACTAAGGTTGGAGATGCATATAAGTCGCCAATGTTAGACAGGACTTTTGACAACTCCCAACGGCGGGTTGTCTCGGAAGGAAGCAAGTACAGCCGGCGGCCACAGGACAGCACACCTTTTCTTATGAGACTTCATGCGGGATCAATGACAATGAGGCCTCTGATGATTTTGAAGAGGGGCTTTGCCACGACGGTCGCCTCCAGGCCGACAAGCTGTTGGGACTTAGCCTCCGAGGTTGCACATCACAGTAGCAGCCAAGCTACGCCGCATTGCAACCTCATCGGCTGAGTATAGCAATACGTGGGGAGTGCGCAGAATAGACAATGAAAAGTGTGCGTCCTCCAGCGCGAGCCGTGAGACGACATGCAGTTTGGAATTTGCTAAGATACTCCCGCACCAGGCGGACACGAGACGGGAGATCTTATTGCAAGGGCCTCCTTAAGATGCCCACACTTCGCCGACTGGAGGAGATCAAACCTCCCAGGGCTTGCAGTGACGCCTCTACTGTTGCATTGAAGAAGCTTTGACAATTCACGATGCTTGAGTCTCCAGACTCTGTTGCTTCAAGGCTCGAGCACGTCCCATGTTGGTTTCGCATAATGGTCGGCGGCGGGAGGCGATGACGAAGTGCGGATCGAACCTTTGGGTAGCATTGTCTACCTAACCCTCGAGGGCCAATCTGCCACTAGCGATTTCACTTGCGGCTGTCTCATCAACCGACACGTGGGCTATCAAGTTGCGCTGAATCCTTTCCCTTCCTGCTTACGGCTGGGGCTAGTAATATTTTTCCTCTCGTCGCTGTACAAGAAAGGGGCTCTGTCAGAAAAAATGACCACTCAATTCGAGAATCCGAACTCGGGCTCCGTAGTGTAGCATCGAAGCAAGCCGGAACCGATGATACCGAATTGGTCGCATTTGTTCTTGTCCCTCAACATGCGACAAGGGCTGGCCGTGCAGCCCGGAATAGTGAGCTTACGGAACGCCTATCAACTTTCTTTTGCCGCCACAATCTAGACCACACCTTCTGTTCGATCGGCTCACGACTGATCAACGCTGTACGGCTATCTCAGTTCCAGCTTCGCTACCTGTCTTCAAGCCGCGCCAGCCGTTCCCGCATGCAAGACTTGATCATCTGCCGCGGGACGAGGCAAATTGATCGAAGGAGATGCACACCAGCAGCCAGCGCTAACGGGACATCGTCCACAAAGAGCAGACCACCGTTGCTGGCGTAGCAATCCCTGCCTTGCTTTCCTCACCGATCAGCACAATCTGACGATGAATCCGGATTTTCAAGGCCTTCGCATCGGGAGAATAGGCGAATGGCCAGCATGAACTTGCATAAAGGAGAACCTTCTATCCTCCCGCATTTGTCTCCATCCCCGGATTGCAGTGATCTGCCCGGCATTGATGCGCATTGTAGAACACCGCAGGAACAGCAGGAAGAGACGAACATAGACCGTCAACAAGATGCGACAAGCGCACTACCTAGACTAGAACCACTAGGAAGCTGTAATAGCAGCTTCGACGGCCTGCCCCGCGACCTAGATCCTAGCTGGTTTGGGATGTCGCTCTTCCACCCCTCGTCTGGCTCATCTGGCTTGTTTGCCTAGGGCCACGCTACTGATGCGCACAATTGCGGCAGACGATGAAGGGGGCTTGATCTAGGCCGCTTTCTCCAGCTGCTGCTGATCAGTTGAGCTATTCCGGGCTTCTCTCTGTCCCTTATTACTCGTGAGACCTGGACGAAATATGTATTGAGCTCCAGCATTCTACGGCCTTGACCGGAGCGCTCTCCTTTGGGCAGCCTGCTCGAGCATCATCATAATTCTGGCATGCTGGCCGCCCTCAACCCGGCCGCCGGGCCAATGGTCCATGATAGGAGACCATAATATCAGACACACAGACACCAGGTCGGCCAGCTTGGGCCCCCAAAAGAGCCCCCCAAGATGCCCAAGGGAGTTAAGTCGTACGCCCCTTCACGCCCCTTCCCCACCCTGCGGCCTTTCAGACCCACCCCTCCCTCCTATTTACGTATCGTCTCATCCGACATATCCTTGCTGTCCGTGGCTCCCTAGCGTGCGTGGCTATCCTGAGTTCGGCGCATTACTACAGTGTACTAGGACAGTAATATCTCCCATTGGCGCTGGCTGCATGTTTCATGGGTACAGATTGTGGGCTCTACTTGCGTCCTGTTTACACTACTACGTACATATGTATGGTGCGTGCCTCGCCTCTCGTCCTTTGCTTGCCCACGGGGTCTATCAGCTCTTCGAGCGAAGAAGCTGTATGATACGTGATGCATTGGTCAGGGTCCTCCACGCCCACTCCTGTCCAACCATAAACTGAGCGAGGACGCCGCGGTCAACGGTTGTCTTTAGACAACGCCACTGGTCTCTCTTCACCATTGACTGGCTGGAAGCTTCTCGGTTTGATGGGGTCTTGACACCACCACAAACGCACCCCCCGTACAGGCGCACTTAAGCCGCATTGCTGGCCATGTGGATCTTGATACAGGAGAGAAGCTGAAGCAAGACGACAGCCGCACGATCACTACCACTTGTTTCCAGGACCTACAGATAATCGTAATGCAGATGGAGTGGAGGTGTGGTCATCCTTATCAACCGTCACCACCCTTCCTCACCCTTCCCTTCAACCGCCTCTAGGCTTGTGTCTCAGTGATCACTGAGAGACTCAAGCTACCATGAAGGCTCTCTTTAAGGGTCCTCCGCCCGCAAGCCGGCCAAAGTCCCAACACCAATCTATTCGGGGCAAAATATCGGGGCCAATTCCAATACCCAGCCCCTTGGAGGAGGAAGAGTTCCCCATACGAAACCCAGGCACGGGTATTGCAAGCCCAACACCTCTTGATGAGAACGAAGCAGAGGAACATAGACAACGACAGCTTCATCCCCCGGCGGCCGGCACATCAATTGCGTCGGGCGTCACGCCAAGTCAGGCTGAGGTCCCACAAGCAACTGTACCTGAGCCGCCGTCCTCACCACCTCCGGCTCCTCCTTCCGGGCCCAGCCCTACTTCAGCAGCAGGTGGCTCGACAGTAACTGGCCCGGAGAGCTCGCCTTCACAACGATCCCCTAAGCGCCACCGAACCAACCCGTCCAGCACATTACGGTATTCGACTGTGAGCAATGTCTCTACGGACAGCCCTGCGCATCAGAATGGGCGGCCGGAAAGGAAGAAATCTACCTTGCGCGGTGCTCTAAGTAAACTCTTTGGGCGCAAGAAGAAGGAAGGCAGTCAAGGCTCAGTTTCGACAACAGAGCGTTTGTCAGCCTTGGGAGGGGCATCTCAACACCGAAGTGTAAGTGTCTCAAAGCTCGCGTAGCCCACCTTATGCGACCGCTTCGTCTAAGTACTATGACTGACTGTCTCAGCTCCAGGATCCCGCAGCACTCACCACACGATCCAAAGACACCGAGCCTAAACGTTCAGCATCACTCCCGATAACAGAATTTGATCGTGCGCTTCGATCACACTCGGTTGGACCCAATGACATCACAGCCATCGAGAGCGCGCGCAACTCAATACAGGCGGATGCGTCGCCGAGTAGGAGACGAGCAGCTACTATTTCCAGCAGGGTGTTCTTAGGACCGCGTAGAGGCGATCTTGGAGAATGGGCGGGCTTATCACCTCGGCCGGCCAGCACACATGGAAGGAGCAGCCGTTTGCTAACTGGCGACGAAGATCCGAGTGAGATCGGTCGCGCAATCACTAGCGATAGTACCGGTGATTTGTCACACAAGCGGCGATCACGGTCACTCTCAGGCTTGCATGACATTGCCAGTCGCGGGTCAGACTCAAGGCGGCGGAGTGATGAAATTCGCTACTGGCGAGAAAGCTATGACCCGGGATTTCTGTCTCCGTTGTCGTCTGGGCCAAATGATGGGACTGATATCGGTGATGATAACGATGACACCGGGCAGGTGTCAGTATCTGCCCCAGAATCGCCGGTTGTCGAGCGACCGCCGAAGACGCCGCCACAGCCGTTCAACTTCGGCTCATTGGCCTCTATGAATGAGATGGCGGGCATGAAAATCACGCAAGCTGCCAGCATTGATATGCGTTTTGGCGGTTTAGAGGGTCGCATGCTAAAGGTGGAACGTGTTGTTGACCAATTGTGTCACTCGGTACCAGGCTTTAAGGGACCCTTCGTGGAGCTTGGTTCCGAGCGCTCAAGATCGGGCCCAACATCCGAGCCGTCTTTTGTCTACACAAGCGCTGCGCCGCCCATGATTCCTGCCGTCTATCAGACCGTCTCTAATGAATTGAAGGGCAGCTCGCGGTACAGCAGCTCAAGGCATTCAGTAGAGACTGATGCCCACTCGCACATGTCTTTCGGCGAGGGCCAGACTTACATCGGATCGCTGCATCCACCTTCATCGTCTGCGACACAAGCGCAGTCCATTACTGTTACATCCGGGCCGACACAACTTACATCTGCAAATCGGCCGACATCGACGTCGACTGTACGCGGCGCAACTAGTCTCCCTACCATGGGGGGCGCACGCGAGCAAATTGATGACGCTTCCATCCTCCAGTCACAGCTAGAGGCCGAGCGTGCTGCACGGCAAGCGCTAGAAGCCCAGGTCAAGAAGCTGTCCGAACGACTTAACTTGCTTTCATCCACTATGTTCGCAATGGTGCGTGATCCTGCTAAGTCAAAATCACAAGAAAGGCTGCGGCCAGACACGAATGCCACGGCTCCAGCGCCGACTCCGTCACCCACAGGTCTCACATCAGTCTCGATCCCAGTGCCCGCCGGCAAAGCTCAGTCAGTCTTTGAGGACGACGACGACGATGGGTCGACAGTGGCTAAAGAAGGTGATGATTACTCGGAGGCGTTCCAGACTCCAAGGGAAGAGAGCGGCCCTACAAATTACGGCGCTTTCGGCGAGGAGTTGAAAGATGACGATGACGATCCGAAGCGCAAGAAAGCGGCTAGGACGTTGTCACTAAGTCAGCTCACGATGGGCAAAGGCGTTTCTACAAGGATATAATGACTTCAACATTCCTTAAGACTCGAACTCTCTGAGAAAATTGAAGGCCCTGCCTTGATCGATGAGTAATAAGTCCAATAGGCTTCCAGCATATTACCACTTCTACACCAGCTCCCTAGCACACAGCATCATGACGTACCGGCGATCAGAATCACGTTATACGTACGCAGGAGGACGAATGCCTTTGTCTAGCGATTTATGTTGAGCATTTCGAGCGAGCGACTGCATTACTAGCTACCTCTTTTTTTGATCACACTGTTTGTTCTCAGTCAAGATCACTATTCCCAACCTTTTCTCCCTTGTATTTGTAAAACATCGTTTTCGGATCACTACAGCACGACGCGGACGCATCGCGATGATTGAATATTTCGTTTTGTTATAAGAGGGGCCACGTCAACCCCTCCTGAAGGGAGATTTCGACCGACGAGGATTCGTCGAGCAAGGAGTTATCTGTCCAGATACCTTTTTCTTTTGAAAGCATTGCAGGAGCCCAGGTACTGTGTCTGGTATCACGGATAGGATAGGTAGAGAAGAAGTGATAGCGCCAAGGATAATATAATCGAGGTGAAGAGCCGCAACACTCCTTCGCGTATGTTTCCACTGCTGTGGCACAATCTAGCTAGCCGTTCTTTATTGAGCTACATTGTGACCGGCATTGTTTCATACATTTTGTTTATATTGCTGTGTCTGTATGTTTCTTGTTCGTCATTAATGAATATATTCAGAAGTCTCATAATGGGTAAGAGCTAGAGGGGTACGTCTAGGGACAGAGTGTGAAATTAAGAGTTGGCACGTGCGCCAGTTATTAATATCTTGACGCGGAACGCCGTGGCCAAACGGGTCCTCAACTATGCTAAAACGCCGACGACTTATCGACTTCGTCACCAGTCTCACCCATCGCCGTCGCAAATTGTGTTTTTCGGCCAGTCTCCAATGAGTACATATCGCTGGAGACAATAATAGCTGTCGGCAGTCTCGCAATGCCGCAGCCTCTAAGCCTCAAGCCGCACGCGGCAAAAGGCTATCAGCTCGTCGATGGACAAGGCGAGCAAGAGCATGAGCAGGAACAGCCGTCCTCTCCTATCGGCTCCGGTACGACACACCCGCCATCAATCCAGCGGCGGACGGCCAGAGTTGTACTCATTGCGCTTGCTGTATGCTTGGCTATCTGCCTGGGCATCAACTTTGCGCTTGAGAATGGCATCGCATCGCGGCTCGCGAATTCCGGCAGCTGTCCGTGTGCGGAGCAGCCAAAAGTGCCAGACTACTTCCAAACGTCACCGCAGATGTGGGCTGGTCCGACAGCGACGGGAAGGCCGGCGTTCATGGCCCAAACGAGGACGTTTGATCCAACGGGCACTTATGTACCTAACACTCCGCTGCAGACGTCAATCCCCATCGAGGGCATGGGGACAGGGAACACGAGCATTTTCCAGATGATGGGTTATCTATCGCCTTACTCACCCTCTCCTGGATTTGGCGTGGATGAGTATCCACTGCCCGAGGGCGCGGAGATCGTTCAGGTGCAGATGCTGTCTCGTCACGGCTCCCGCTATCCGACTACTGGCACCAATGTCGAAGCTTTTGGCAAGCGGATTGCTGAGGCTGCTGGGAAGTACAGGGCCACCGGTTCATTGTCATTTTTGAACGATTGGAAGTATCAGCTCGGAGCAGAGATTCTCGTCCCAAGAGGCAGGCAGGAGCTATTCGAATCAGGCATTCTACACTCGTACATGTATGGCAGCTTGTACAACACCAACAGCAAGATCATCGTCCGCAGTACTACCCAGGATCGTATGCTAAAGTCCTCCGAGTACTTCCTTGCCGGCTTCTTTGGTCTGGAATGGACAAAGAATGCTACAATTGAGGTGATCATCGAGAAATATGGTTTCAACAACTCCCTAGCAGGCTATCATCGATGTCCCAATGCTAAAGAGGACAGGGGTGGTACAGATGCGCAAAGGATATGGTTCGAGAACTATTTACAGAACGCCACTGCCAGGCTCAGCAACTTGGTCGAGGGCTATGATTGGACTGTCGATGACACCTTTGCAGCTCAGAATCTGTGCCCGTACGAGACGGTCGCGTACGGCTTCAGCCGATTCTGCGAGCTATTTACGTACGACGAGTGGATTGGCTTCAGCTACGCCATCGACCTCGCTTTTGCTGGAAATAATGCTTTCCAATCTCAGACCGGCAGAGCGGTAGGAATCGGTTGGCAACAAGAGCTCATTGCCCGACTCAAGAACCACACATTGGGCTATTCAGGGTCACAAATTAATGTGACTCTTGACAGCAGCACCGACACCTTTCCTTTGAATCAAAGTCTTTACTTTGACTTCTCACACGACACGAACATCATTTCTGTCTTGACCGCGCTCGGCTTCAAGCAGTTTGCGGCCTTCCTAGATGCGAAGCAGTATCCGGGTCCGCACAATTTCACCATCTCGCATATGGTGCCATTCGGCGCACGGCTTGATGTCGAGATCATCAAGACACCCCGACCTGTGGCGGCTGATCGCTCGGGGTACCTGCCAACCGGCCCAGAGACGACGTACATCCACTTTATCCTGAACCAACGGACACTACCGCTGGGCTGGAGCTTTCCCGAATGTGACGTCTACCGGCTTGATGGATGGTGCGAGCTTGACACCTTCCTCAAAGTACAAGATGAGATGGAGAAGCTTGCCAAATATGATGAGGCTTGCTTTAGTGATTACAAACCACAGCCCTATGGCGTGGTGATGGATGGTGCACCACTATAATAGGTAGAGCTGATAGCATAGATACAAGTTTTGCGAACTTTGGAAAACTGTAACAAAAAGGACAGACCTTCCACGTGCCTGAAGAAGTCAGGAGACGCAACTGATTTACGAAATTTTGAGAAACGCAGGCAGGAACATTGTTGTTTGTGTGTTCGGGGCTCAACGTCAGAGATTATCAAACTGACGCAAGCAGTTTGTGAGGTTGCAGTGTTTCACATACACCAAGGAACGCCAATAGGGCTATACATAGACACGTCACACTGCCCATATAGGGTCATACAGATGAATGTATTAGTAAACTTCCTGATTTCACAAGCGTTATTGGTACCATCTCGTGGGGTTTGAACATATTTCACTCCTGGAAATCACAACGGGAGACAAACTAATTATTACTCAAATTTTGTGTGTTCAGTATCCACTGCGGACTAGAGTCACTCCTAGGCAGCTGGTACATCTGTTCCTGAAAATCTGTATAAATTGAGCCTCATCCCTCCTGTGGGCCCTATTTGACCTGCTCAGCTCAAAACGCCCATCCTGGACTTTCGGCAAGTCTTTCTCAAATGATTAGCCTTCCTATATAGTAGGGTATATACACGCATGGACATCCTGCTCTCCGAGTACGTCGCGGCTGGACAGTGCTTGACCTCGATAAATCCGAGTTCCTCTGCTTAGCACTTCATAACACTCAGAAGGCAGCATCTACGAGCGAAACACACATAGCACACAACATAATGTATTTACTATAATCGTACAAATTCAGACCCTTTGTTGCCCACAAAATGATATGGAAGCTCCATATCTCCGCGTCTGGATGTAGTCTCTATATCCATACAATCGAATGGTTTGAAGGGGAATATAATGGTGACCTGGTATCAAGTTCTTTCGGTCTAGGCCACCTCCGAAATCCGGACAGATACCATTATGGCAATCGCGGCCAGCAACGTCTTACCTTATAGGACTTGGAGAGGATTGACATGGCATTGGGTGGCCGGATAACTCAATTCAATGATATCAAGACCAATCTGGACGGCTTAACACATCTACCAGGAGTAGTAGAGTCTCGGCTGTGCCACCCTCATTATCCCTACCTTACGAACTCAGACAGCATCTAAATCGGCTGATTCTGGTGACAAGTTACCACATTGTATTAAAAGAAGCATTCTTCTGTATAATAGCCTAACTCTACAAGTAACTTCAATAACCCAAATGACAACTAGTTTCTAAAACACTTCAATTCCGGTACCTACAGGGAGCTCACTTGATACACAAAATCAAGAGTTGGATTCAATAAGCCACGATACTTTGGTTTCATGGGCATTGTTCTTGTCAATCGTTGCTCCTACTCCTTGCTCTCCGTTCTTGTAGTCCTACGGGGTGCAGGCTATGGTAACTAGAGACCCGGCGTAGGAAGATGACGACGTCCACACTCTAGCCACTATGAGGCAAAGCGGAATTGAAGTTTACTTCTGTTCTCTTGCTGATCAGAGAATTATCTGTTAAGAGAACGACTAAAAGCATCACCGCTGCATTTTCGGAATTGCAACTGAAATTTCGGTATTTGGCTTTACGATATTCCAAGAAAAAGTTACTCAGATACTATGGTATGAGGAGTCATAACGGAGAATGGATCAAACGGTCAATGCAAAGTGGTTTTTTAATTGTAGGAGAAGAATATTTGATGACAACCAAATCCTTCGTTTTGGCATCTTATACAATAAGTAAATCGTGTAGTTGGGTTGATGTGGGACTGTTCAAACTGACCCCGCGAGGAGCACACTTTCCCCACTGCATACCACAAGCTCAAGGAACCTGAGGTGCTGCGCGCCTGTCTGTAATACACACATTTGTCACCGCACCTAGAAGGCTGAGAGCCCACCCGAATAGATTGATGAAGGTCATTCCTGAGACTTCTCGGTGGTGAATTGCAACATATTACGGTTATGACCGGCGAAGACATAGATGCAGAAAACCAGCAGTGACGCTGGCTACCAAATTGTCCATGGAATGCCCGATATGCCTACCATTAACTGACAATTCAGAAAAGCCCGTACGCAAGGTGGACTTATGCAACTCCGCCAATAACGGTTGTTCGACTTGTAGTCTACTTTGGCGTGCGTGCAAGCTTGCTGGTGACATATCTTCAGTCGATCATGCCATCTCATGGGCCAAAGGGTCTCTCTATGGGATCTCCCTCGAGACGGATGATCCTGAGGTCAGAGCAAATGCAGAGCCGTGGACACCAATTATATTTCTAGCAGCAGATGGAGGTAGGGTATCACCACTGTCTACGAGACCATCGCTGATTGTAGGCAGAGAAATCATCCTCGCCTTTCCCATGGCTGCCGACACTGACTAAATCGCCCTTCACTAGAAGCGCAACGCGCGACATCCAGTTGATCAGCCTGTGGCTGAGTGAGTGCCAGCAGGGCCATGCCATGTGCCAACAGCTTATAACCCCTGTTCTTCCTAAGCGAGTTCTTGATGTCGGCAGTGCCAACAACGATCCTCATCTGGTGATTTCGTCAGAAGCTACGGGTCGATATCTCTGTCTAAGTCACCGATGGGGCTCCGACCAGGAGCAATTATGCACTACAAAGGAGTCTTTACCTCACTTTTGCGAGACAATTCCATTTGGTAGCTTTCCCCTTCTGTTTCAACAGGCCATCGAGGTTACGCGAGCGCTCGACGTCCAATATCTCTGGATCGATTCACTCTGTATCCTCCAGGACGACGTCGAGGACTGGGAACGAGAGTCAGCCCTGATGGGGGATATTTACTCGAACGCATATGCCACCCTGTTTGCCGAGAGAGCTACCAATAGCAACGATAGCCTCTTCCAGACTGATGACGACCGAGGCAACCGTTCGCATTTCGTTCAGGATGTCGAACACAAAGATCCGGCCACAGGACAGACACATTCGATTCTGGTTGCGTCCAAGCTGGCGACATATCCCAGTTCTCTCGAGGAAGCTTTCTGCCTGGTCGACCAGTCGGAATCCCACCTCGAAGACCGAGGCTGGGTGCTTCAGGAAGAAGTGCTGTCTCGCCGCAAGATCTGCTTCTCCCACACCGAGCTGCACTGGCAGTGCAACGTGCTCTCGCAGTGCGAATGCGGCATGCGGTCCGTCATGGCGTCCAACACCGTCAGCTGCGAGCACGACTTTGTCAGCCGGCTGCTGCTCTTCCACAGGAGCGACGGCACCGTGACCAAGGGGCTCAGCAAGAGCCTGAGCTCGGCGCGGAGGCGAACCATGGACGTGAACAGGGCGTGGCAGCAGCTCGTGCGGGCGTACTGCCTGCGAAACCTGACGACGGAGCAGGACCGGCTGTCCGCGCTTGCGGGCGTGGCTTCGAGGCTGGGCAGGTCAAGTAGGGACTACTTGGCTGGTATATGGCGCCAGGACGTAGAGGCTCAACTGTTGTGGCATGCCAAACCGGGGTCGCTCGAGCGGCCCTGTCATAGACACTCGTTCTACGCACCGTCCTGGTCCTGGGCTGCTGTGACGGGGAGTATTGACTTTCAGTCCCTTGGACCGTTCAGCTGGAGGAGTCTTTGGAGTGTTAGAGACGGAGCCTGTGAGCCATCTGGAAGAAACCCTCTTGGCTCGGTATCCTCGGGATGGTTGAAGGTGGTCGGGCCTACAGTTCCGGTCAAATTGTCTCTGCTGAGTAAAAACGATTCAGCTTTCACAGAGAAGAACATTGAAGCTGAGTGGAAGGACGGCTTGTACCGCTACCAGCTGACAGCACCAGGGGAGGCCGATTGTATCACGATGCGTATTGATGCTGACGACAACGGGCCAATCACAGAAGGTCTCAGACGCGAAAGCATGGTCATCACGGATACAGCAGAAGATTGGAACGATATACGAGCGTCCCTGGGCATTGAGCAGAGGAAGTACTTGTATCTCATTGCAGGATTGCGCAGCCAAGTCAACGACCTGACTCACCTGGGCGTTACCTTGACGGAAGGACTCCTGCTAAGAGAGTCCAGGAGGCAACCTGAGTTCTGGGAACGGGTTTGTCTAATGAAGCCGGATGGATGGTGGCGAGAATGGGAGAAGCTGACAATGAGCAGAACGCTTGTACTCATCTAGACTTTCGTCACTCGAGAGGAGGAGCTGGCCAGGCCAATTTTCAGGATAGAGAAGACGATGACAAAATTGACAACGGTGCTAGGTGACTGCAGTTGCAGATATTCCCACCAGAGTTGGTTGATACTCCGACCAAGACAATGATATGTTCGAACCCCTTGGCTGGACACTTTGCACACGACCTCCGAATGCATTTCATAAAAAGGCTCTTGGGTTCATCAATACTTGTCAATTTTCCCAAGGGGGAATCCCGCTTCACAAAGCTGAAGTCGAGTCACCTTCATCGTCAACGCACGGCCCGGAAGGGACGGGCCTTGCCTGAAGTTGCTCAAGCTGAAGTGTTGAAGCACAACAACAATCATTGAGTGGCCCCTAGGTCCATCACGTGGATGCCAAGAAGAGTGGATCCGCGAGCTTTCATCTTGACAGTTTCGATCTCAAAATCCAAGGAGACGTGATTGGCCGAGATGGAAAGATAAGGCCCTGGTCTCGGCTACCGCTTAGGGCGGTCTTGGCAGCGTCTTAGCTCGAATGCTTGTTTGGAGCAGAATGAGAGCAGCGGACGATGACATTGGGAAAGGGAGGAGAAAATCTCTCATGATGAAAATGATGCCACTGCAGAAAACGGCGTGATCCAGCCAACCAGCCCATAATCACGAAAAAAAAAGCTGGGGTACGTTGATGACGACTGGGGGCGCCCTCTAGGCACTCCGGCTACGGGGTCGGGGCGGACGGGTGCCTTTTTCCCTCAATTGGATCACATCCTATAGGGCCAGCAGCATGCTGTAGGTTGTATGATAGCTATGCAATAAAGTCGTACAGTCTCACTCGCTGCCTATTCGGATGGAGTGGAACGCCACGAATTGGCAGGCGAGATTTTCCCTCACTGCAAGGTCTCAGCTTTTCCAGGCACGAGACCTATCGGCGTCCCCTATCAGTGCCTTCTCGTCTCCCTGCGCAGCTTGGCATTGTAGCAGAATGGTCCGAGACTGAGGTGTCTTGCTGGTTGATATGTCGATAGTTGCAAATTTGGTGAGATGAGCATCGTTTCCAGACCTGGCCGGGTCAGCTGGACACGGTTTGAGGATGATGCATGCTGTACATGCACCCCAGAAGGGGTCTTGAGGAAGCGAAGAATTTTCCCTCATGCCGCCTGGGCACTTCCCAGACGAGCTATACATCCGTGGATGTGCATGCGAGGGTTGCTTTGTTGTACAATAATATGAAGCCATATGAGATGAGAGGCTTTGCATGGTGTTGCTCCGCTGTGATGTATGCGATGTGCCGTCGTCATGGCTGCCTCTAACCTAATTGAGCGACATCGAGATACTGCAGGCCGTGTACATGCACAAAGTCAAGTATGCGTAATAAACGTCCATATATCGGCGGGCCAGTCACCTTGGCTCCTTAGTGACCTAACTGATCTACGCCCGATCCTCTACTGCGCTAAGGAAGCTCATCATTTCACGCTGGAATTGGCGAGCCGGCGTTGGTTGTTTAGTCCACCAAGTGCAGGTATGAAACGTCGTCGATTCCATGTGGCCCAAGCGACAGAATGACAACGGCGATTTACAAATAAAGCTTCTTATCTATCAGTTTAATAAGGGTCGAAGCGCCGTTTTTAGCAAGCTGCTTAAGCAATGGGAGAGCAAGGAAGGGCCAGGCTGAAAGAGAGGTCACCGAGGGAGGAAATGCTCCAATGGGACGGCGGCAGGGTCGCGAGGGACCTGAGACGAAACGAGGCCGAAGCCGCATGGAAGCTATCGAAGGACGAGAGAAGTCTCCGTAACGCGCTGTGATTCGCCGTTACACAGGCCGTACACTCATCGCGCGGTTCGTGATCGACCCGGAATTGGTGGCCAGAGGGTTGTGGTGAGGTGAGTGTGTCACGCCCAAGACAAACGATTTAGTAAAAGTTTGCCCGTCCCACGCCCCTCGTTGGCTGGGCTGCCCTGGCGGCCTGGCTCGTGCTCTGTGCTGCGCTGGGGGGTGCTGTCCGTTAACCGGCCCTGGCGCATGTCTGTCACTGGAGAGGTACTCTGCAGTTCTGTAGGTGCATCTCATCCAGCTTGTTTCGGGTCCTTGAAATTGCTTTGATATCAAGATGCAAAAAAATTTGCGGGTTCACGGGGAGAGCGATGCTGTGAGGTGCTCCAGGACGTTGGCGTCTGAGCTGCAGCCCCACTCAGGTGGCTTTTTTCCGCCTGGCAGAGGCTGCAGCTGAACGGCAGCTGGGACGGCCCCAGACAGAGACAACGAGAGAGAACTGGGGACATTGCTGGGGGACACCTGCAGGGCAGGCTAGCTCGGGGGCTTGCTCCAATTGAGGCGAATAGCGTCCCTGCAGCCCGGCAGCCCGAAAAGTAAAAGTAACCACCAAGATGCTGTATGTATGTACGTGTGTATGTATGTATGTACCTCACTCACTAAGGCAAGCCAGCCATGTATCCGGAAATGCCTATCTTTTCTTGTCAGGAACCAGACAGCCATCGTTAGCAGCCTATTGGCTAGGCGATGAAGTTTTTGCCGCATCATCCATCTTCAGGACCCCCATCTCCCCTCGTGAGACATCACAGCCTCCATCGAATAGGATCCTCCAGTTACTTCTTCAGGGCGGGTGGGATGAAAAGGAGGCTCGAAAAGGAACGAGCCACGCCTCAGCTCCCGAGAGATCTCTCGTCTGGCGTGCAAACAGGCCTCTTGTTCCCCCACTGACCCACCCAGCAGTACCCCTGTCTCCTAGCTGCTCCGTGGCGTGCCTCACCAAGAGCTATACTACGTATTCTCCCGCAAAGTCCTATGTGAGTATGTGCATTTTCTCGGTTGTGATGCGCGAAATCGCAGCTCGAAAGGCGCCTTGGACATGCCCAGCCAGGTATGCCATCGGGATCTAGCTGCACACACGCTGGTGGGTCTCGAGCCAACGAACTCGCTGCAGGCATACCTACCTACCTAGGCTCTGTGTATTGAATTAAGAGAAGTTGAACTCGAGATACGAGTTCTTTTTCCAGGACAAATCCTCGACATCCCACCCTCGACGACTTCGAGGCCCGTTCATAATTGCTGGATGTCGGGTCGGGCAGCAGCAGCAGCAATAGCACCCAGGTGTCCCCTCCTCCACAAGTTCACCAACCTTGACCTTGACCTTGACCTTGACCCCTGCAAATTGGAGTGCATCAGCAGCCGGTAGGGGCATGCGCAATTTTCCCGCCTGGCCCTGCCCTTGGGATGAGAGAGGGGGGCTTACTCTGCGTCATCAAACACTCTAATGGGGGGTTTAGAGCAGAGTTTTCCATCCAGGATGTTGATTGAAAACGAACTCTGGTATATCGATCTTTGCAATGATAGAGACTCGAAAAGGATGAGTCGGGTGACTACTTGGAAGGTCAGAAACGTAGCATACCATGAGAAGTCTAGGGTATAGTCCGCCGGGCATGTTCCCGAGTTCGCGATTCATGATTAGAAAGGGAGACGACATCGGTTCACAGAAGTTGCTACAGACATTGAAGCATTGATGAAGCTATATCATGAGCCCGCTGGAGATTCTATAAATATACAACACACCTGACCTGAAGTACTCCTTCAACGTCGGGGGTGAGTGGGATGGTGAAGAGCCGGAGCCTCGTACAGGAAGGGCTGACCCAACCAAATGGCATCGTGTGCCTCGCATCCGCAGACGCGGCTAGTCTGAGATATAGAGGCGGATGTCTTTCTTATCCTGGCTGCATCGACTAAGATGCATCAGATAATCAAGCATCCTGTAAAGGCATATGAATCTACGGTGCATTCACATGAGGCATAATAAGAGACCGCCATGAATGGAGATGCATCTACTATGCAGTAAGGTAAGAGGAGGTACGTACCGCGCTAGGGGGCCCTGGTACGATGCCTTAGACTGGGTCTCCCGCGCCTCAACCCACTGGGCCTTAGGTTAGGAGGTAGGTTAGGTTGCCCCCCAAAGCCCCGAATGCGGATTGATTGGCGCTAGGCCTAGCCGGAGCGATTCTTCACGCGCAGTGACGGTCGGGTGGGTTGATTTTTGGGGTGAGTGAGTGATGTGCATGACATGCTCCTTGTACTAAGTCGCTCTGCTAATACTGCTGCATACCCTCAATTAGAGAGAGCGAGAGAGACAGAGACCCAAGATGCAGTCCAGGTCCTCCACAATCGAGGCTAGGTAAGGTAGGAACTAAAAAGTATGATATATATACTGCATCTCCATCCCACCCGTCTGGCTTCGTCTTGATCTGCCGTTTCTGTCCGACTATCCAGCCCTGTTGCTGTGTGTGCTGTGTTCCGTGTTACCTGCCTCACTTGACTTACTCGTAGAGTGCCCTCCTCGAACCCAATTTTTCTCACATTCCTTGACTTAGACTTTCCGACACTTCACTCTGGAATACTTCATTTCTCTTTTCCTTTTCAATTTCTCGTGACCGGGCCACACACGAAAAGACGCTTTTGAGCCGGCGTCATGTCCTACTCCTGGGTAGGAGCACCTGCGGTGTTCAACGGCACCAATGACGAGACCGGTGGTGACTCTGGTGAGCAATTCCCGCGCAAAACACCAACTCTGTGTCGTTGAAGGCTTACAATCAAGCAGCCACCGAAAACCTAAACCAATGGTACCAGTCCGGTGACCAGGCCTTCATCATTGTGGCCTCCTGCATGGTCCTGCTCATGATTCCCGGAATCGCCTTCCTATACTCTGGTCTTGCACGAAGAAAGTCCGCCCTCTCGCTCATCTGGGTCGTCATGATGTCCTTCAGCGTCATCATTTTCCAATGGTACTTCTGGGGCTATTCCCTGGCTTTCAGCAGCACGGCCACGAACGGTTTCATCGGCGATCTACACCACTTCGGCCTCATGAACACTCTGGCCATGCCTTCCCCCGGCTCCGCGCTCATCCCTGAGCTGCTCTACTCATTCTACCAGATGCAGTTCGCCGGCGTTACTTGTGCCCTCGTGGTGGGTGCGACAGCCGAGCGTGGACGAGTCCTTCCCGCGATGGTCTTCTCCTTCTTCTGGGCGACACTCGTATACTGCCCTCTGGCCTGCTGGGTGTGGAATGTCAACGGCTGGGCCTTCAACTATGGTGTCCTCGACTATGCTGGTGGCGGACCTGTCGAGATCGGCTCTGGTCTTTCAGCCCTCGCCTACTCCTGGATCCTCGGACGCCGAAACGAGAAGATGATGCTCAACTTCCGTCCGCACAACATTTCCCTGATCCTACTGGGCACTATCCTTCTGTGGTTTGGCTGGCTGGGTTTCAACGGCGGCTCTGCCTTCGGTGCTAATCTACGTGCCACAATGGCCTGCTGGAACTCGTGCTTGACCGCCATGTTCGCAGCCATGACTTGGTGTCTGCTCGATTTCCGTCTGGCCAAGAAGTGGTCTCTGGTCGGCTGGTGTTCCGGCACGATCTCGGGACTTGTTGCTGCCACTCCCGCCTCCGGTTTCATCACCCCCTGGGCGTCCATCATTCTCGGCGTTGTTACGGGCATCTGCTGCAATTTTGGCACCAAGATCAAGTTCATGGTCAAGATCGACGACTCTCTCGACGTGTTCGCCGAGCACGGCATCGGCGGCATCGTCGGCCTCATCTTCAACGCCTTCTTCGGTGCCGACTATATTATTGGCCTCGACGGCGTCAACAATGGCATCACCGGCGGCTGGATCAACCACAACTACAAGCAGATGTACATCCAGATCGCCTACATCTGCGCCACCTCCGCCTACACCTTCGTCATGTCCGCCATCATCGCCAAGATCATCGACATGATCCCCGGCCTGCACCTCCGTGCGAGCGAGGAGGCTGAGCTCCTTGGTATGGACGATGACCAGCACGGCGAGTTCGCTTACGACTACGTTGAGGTATGTTTTCTCGAAGTATAAAACATCAACTCCAAAGATCATCATGCTGACTATGAATCTAGGTTCGTCGCGACTACCTCGCATGGACCCCCGCCGGCAAGGAACAGAAGGAAGACGGCTTCCAGATCGCCCCCACACACGGCATCGAAGAGCACCAGAACATGATGAACGGTAGCAGCCGGCCAGTCTCTAACGAGGCCATCGTGGTCGAGCAAAAGGCCGAGGCACAGAGGTCGTTCGAGGCAGAGAAGCAGGTAGAGGCTGAGAAGCAATCCTCTGCCGCTTCTACCAAATCGAAATAAGCGAGGCCCTGACCATTTCATCACTTCCCGTCGTTCAAGAAAGCGTTGTTGTTGTCGTCCAAAGCGTAGGATATCCATTTTTTATTTGCATAAGACCAGGGATCAAAAGGGGATTAGGGTTTACTCTTTTGGGAGAAAAAGGTGTTGAATTACAGGCTTTCTATCATTTCATCGACACATGTTGAAGATTGGGGCGATATTCCTGGAGGTCCAGGCAAGAGTTCTACAAGACTTCTACAGGATGATGCTGATGTTCCATTCCTGCAGAATGGACATATTGGTGGTGCTAGGCATACCGAAACTGTAATAATACCCATTCGCTGGCATTGCTCAATCATGAACTACATACAATTTAGTATTCACAAATCTATTTCCCTCCGTGCAATGACTTTGGAATGATTACCATACCTTTGTCTGAAGTCTCCTTGGAAACTGCTCTCCGCTCAGTCATCCGGCCCGCCGGAGACACTTCAGATTCACAGCACAGCCCACTCTCTCAACTCTCGATTACGCTCGTATCGCGCGATTTTACACCCTCTGACCATGCCCACAGCATGCAGCCGGTGCTTTACTGAAACCACTACTCGTGGACGCTTACACGGTTGCACCGATTAGTCCATTACGGAAGCCAAGACTTTTCCTTATCTCTGGCGGCCGTCATCCAGCGATTACCTTCCCCACAGCATCCAAGCAACCCCTGAAGCCCGGTACTGATACGCATACCCATAGGCGATTATGGCTCGTATGCTAGCGTCATTGGGGGCGAATGCAGGGCTAATAGTTGTGTTTTCTGTATATGCCGTAACAGGTCAACTCCCGCAGTAAATGCCGGAGAGATGATCTGTTAGGGAGCCTGCCGAGGTCGACATACCCCTGATCCGGCTATTGCAAGGCAATCGCTGATGAGCGAACTTGTAGCTTGTGGAGTGCTACAGCTGGTATAAGAGGTGCTATGACGTCGATGAATAGCCAAGTGCGAGCCATATTGACTCGGGGCCTCCTGGCCGCTATGGACTCTAATCTACTCCCACGGGCAATCCACCCGCGGTGCCGCAGGGGTGCTGAGAAAATCGCCTCAGATATTTTCACGGTCATTGAAATCTAACCTATCAGCAGAGATGCCATTCTCGAGATCCGGCTGCAGCTGAGCGCCATGGCGCTCTTATCAGACGGGCCTGCAGGTGAAAGCTAGCCGGGCTGGAATTGTCGCAAAAGCCTCGCCGACTGATAAGGGTGCGGTCTAGGTGAGCTGATGCTCTGTCTCAGCCAAGTCGAGGAACAGCCTCACAATTAATCCCTATCTCTCAATAAAGCGCCAACACACCGTACATGCGCTTGCGTTATCTACAGAGTCGTGCGGCTCTGTCGAGGAACTGCATCAAGCCGATAGGACGCGGGGCCGGCGCTGTCTTAGTGTGGGGGAAATGGCCGGCCGGGATTCGGGGCGAGGATCCTTCGAAGATCTCGGCCTGCCAAGGTGCCAAGCAGATGCCGCGGGGGTTCCGTACCCGACTCGGCTGGATCATCAAGACCAGAAAGATGAGGTTGGGCAGGGTTTGAAACGAATTGATTGTAGTTGAGAGGCTGCTCTTTCATGTCACTCCGGCTTGCGAGCTTAGTTCGTAATCAAGCGTATGGGCTCACGAGGCCTTGCCAAAACATCGCAGACACGTGTCTACGCCGTGTCACTGTAGTTGTCATAGTAAATTTAGAATTATGTTTAATTATTCGTCAGGCTTATGTTTTTGGAATTAAACGACGCGGTCCGGAGATCCATTGATTTAGAACCTTGGTCGCTTACTATGCTCTGATATATATCAAGATTCCCAAACACACACTATCTAGAATTAGACTTAGTTTTCAGACAACGCAACATTATGCAATCAAACAAAATGGCGTCACAATTCACGTCACTCTGCAGCCAACAGAAAACTCTCAATGCACACGACGTGGCCCCGTGTCTCTCTTATCATCACTCGCTTGCTGTGTATAGAATCATGCTTCCCAACATCAAGAACGTTTATCTGAGTATTTGGTCAAAGAGTTCTCTTCTCTGGTAATGTCACAACCTTCTCTTTACTTAATAGTATTCATGAGTCGTCTTGAGCCAAGAAATGTAGAGACCACGATTCGTGGCTCGTCGCAGATCTCGATTTGGAAAAGATTTTTCCAATCCTACGCTCGACACGTTCTTTCCGCGGTGTCTTCTGGACAAAAACCGAAAACAGAAATAACGAGATAGGAGTGTTAGGTCTTTCCAATCGCAGTTACCGTGGCCAGCGCTAGGGCGAATCGCCGTCGGTTGTAAACCTCGATGATATGATGAAAACCCATCACGGGAGACAGGAGTCACGATCTGAAGAGCCATTCTCGATGCCAGGACGGCGACGTTGCGTTGTAAGTGGCCCTCTTTCAAACGCGAGCGCTCGGGAGTATTCAAGACCCAATCAAGTGAAGATTGAAGAGGTGATCTGGACCAGAAGATGGTGGCACCTCTGGTTTCACAGGGATCTATTGTTGCCCTGGATGGATCTGGGAGTCGCAGCAGCGGTGCCAGTACCAACCGAGGAGCTGCTTCGATCCCAGAATATGACAAAGACTGAAGTATGTCTTTATCTTGGAGATCATTCGACTTTCCTCGACTCTAGAACATCCACATCGAGCTCCTCCATGACTTCCATGATCAGCGCAAGACTGTCCATGAAAGAGTTGACCGCGACTCGAAGCATGCGGTTGGTAGTAGCGCTGTACTCAATACGCAACACAGACTCGGCTGGCTCGGCTGTTGAAAATTTCCTATGCACCAGTGGAGATAGTTCCTTGTCAACACTCATAGCCTTCAGCGCGACGGAGGCAAGTCGCGCTGTCGGGAAGGGCACATCGAGGGTCCTTTGAAACACAAGTCAGCTCTCGAGCGGGGTACCTGGGGCTGAAGATTCCAGTCATACAGAGAGCACGGAAAGCCGGTATCCGCGCTATTCGTCATGTTTGGGGCTTTGAAACGGATTGTGACGCTGAAAGGTCTTGTTAGGAATGCTGGATGATGTTGTCGATGCGCAGCCCTTTACTGCAAAATCGACAACGAGTGGGCTGGCGGGGCACTTTGAGGCCGATAAGATAAGGTTATACGCTACTCAGCCGCAACGCCTCAGGCAGCAAGTTTTTGCGGTTGCCATAGAGACAGGCCGAGAACGTGGCTTGACAACAGACAGGGACGTTTGATTGGTTTGTTGCTTTATTTGGGGCGAGTAATATGAGACTTCAATGCAGAATAACAAATCCCCTGGCTCCATACAAAACTCCAGGCCCGCACACCAGAATGCGCACATGCTCTCTTGCCTAATATCTCCAACAAACAACATCATCATCGTCTCTTCTCCTCCGACTTGACTCGACCTTGAGTCGCATTCTGCTTCTTGTTCTTGCTGCTCCTCGAGATTGGAAAGGCATCTTCGCTTGACCGTATCTTTAGCAAGTCTAGCAGTCTCTGCTCATCGCAAGTAACCAGGCACGCATGCGAGTGGTCGCTGCTTGAACAGCCTATACACTTCTGACCTGCGCTTGCTTGTATTGATTACAAGTATCTGTTACCTGCTACTTAGCCAGAGTGCCGGGGGACACTGTCTCTTTCCGTGTGAACAGACCGGATCAGCGCGATACTAAACGGCACGTCGGCATGGCTCCTTCTTCCAAAAGTCCCAATCTGGGGCAGATCATTGAATATATACCAGGTACGTAATCATTGTCACAATGTCTCAATAAACATGCCTCAAAAAAAGCACAACGGAGTCCGTCCTAAATCTCTCAATGGACGGTGCTCTCAGTAGAGGCAGCAGTCCGGGACTGTTGGACTCTCTTGTGCCATATCATTTTCTTTTCTATCCTTTCCCGATCACTTTACTAACTTACACAGATCGCCTGTATCTTGCATCGTACATCAATCCCCCAAATGCCGATACTCTTTTTCCTTACCCAGATCCACCGCTGCGCTCACCGACCAAGCGATCACAAAGAGCGGTAGACGGACCAACATCTGTGCAGAGACCGGCCCATAAGCAACCATTCTATTTCTCTGTAGACGATAGTCTCCTGTATAACGCTTTCCACCATGACTTCGGCCCGCTGCATATCGGCCATCTATATCGATTTGCCCTCCAGTTCCACGATATCCTCGGCGCGCCGGAGAATAAGGACAGACCTGTTGTATTTTGGAGTAGAGCTGACCCTAGAAGTATGACTTGCCAACAATGCGCTTTGGAACATTGTGCTAACTATTTTGCTAGGCCGTGCCAATGCCTCTTGTCTACTAGCATGCTATATGGTCTTGATTCAATCATGGCCACCACATCTTGCATTGGCCCCCATTGCCCAAGTTGATCCCCCATTGATGCCTTTCCGTGATGCTGGCTACAGCCAGGCAGATTATGGTATCACAGTTCAAGATGTTGTCTACGGTGTTTGGAAAGCCAAGGAGGAGAGTTGCTGTGCATTGGAGAACTTTGACCTCGATGAGTACGAAAGGTTTGAACGAGTAGAGCATGGTGACTTCAACTGGGTCACTCCCCATTTCCTGGCATTCGCTTCGCCCCAGCACACTCCCGTGGCTCGCATTACCGAGACGTCGGACCTCTACCCTACACTGCCAAAGACACTAGCAGCCGTCGATGCGCACCCGACACTACCGCAGCCATTCAAGAACGTCCTCAAGCATTTCTCTGAGCGAAACATCGGTCTTGTGGTCAGGCTCAATTCCGCACTGTACTCACCGTCATACTTCGAGGCGCTCGGTATCCAACACCTGGATATGATCTTTGACGATGGTACCTGCCCACCTCTGTCAACCGTGAGAAAATTCATCAGGCTAGCACACGAAACAATTACTGTCAAGAAAAAGGGCATTGCAGTTCACTGCAAGGCGGGACTTGGTCGAACAGGTTGTCTGATTGGAGCATACCTCATCTATCGTCATGGCTTCACCGCCAATGAGATCATCGCGTACATGCGATTTATGAGACCCGGTATGGTGGTTGGACCTCAGCAGCACTGGCTGCATCTCAATCAAGGCACCTTCCGAGAGTGGTGGATCGAAGAAAGGGTGGAGCGCAAGCTTCGCAAGGAGTTTGCAGCTGCCAATCCATCACCGAGCACACCTATCCGAGCTATGCAGAAGGCATCTCTTGGCCGCAGCAACGGAGGCACCTCGACACCGCCTAACAGGAGCGCGTCGAACAGAACTCCATTAAGCGAGATGAACGAGCAGGACCGCAACGCCCCTAGCAATCAAGAAGACTACCTACCAGCACCGACACCAGGTCAGCCGCGCAAGACCAACAGGCATCATCCCTACGGTCGCAGCAGCAAGGACTCCGTGCACCGCACCTCAATCGAGGAGGAGTCAAGCGTCGAGCAGGAGACAGAAATCGTTTCCGTGCATCGTCAGTCCCAGGGAGCCGAGTCGGATGAGGAATGGCACCTACGGATGCGAACACACCGCAAGCCATCAGCATCTCCGGATCATCGTTCCGAGAAGTCACGCTCCGTCAGCCACACAACCACCACGACGACCATATATGAGATGATCGACAACGATGCGTCAAATGATATCGAGAACATTGGTAGCGCCGTCGGCCGGACCAAGTCCATACGTGATTCTCCGACACGTGCTAGCAGCACTTCCGGTGTGATGACGAAAGTTCGAGGCACCTCGAAGCGGCCGGGCGACTCTCTGCGAGGTAAAGAGCCCGCAGGTGTTCGCAAGACCAGCGGTCGTGTCGGTAGCATCAGCTCTGCTACAACCACAGCGACCAACGCTGCTAGAAAGGTGTCTGGTCTTTGATTCGTCTATGCCCTTACCAACAACCCAATTGAAATACTAACCCTGAGCAATATCCGGATGACGAATTCATGATCGTTACGACCTCTTCCATGTTGTTCTACTGCATGCATTGGCGTTTTAAGGGAAGCAAGGAGTCACAAATCAAGGGAGACGTGCTTATATATTATCCGAATGGAACGGGTCACGATTACATGTTGCATCACGGCGGCACTGGCTCGCATGACACGGTCTTGTTATCAGACAACAATTTTGGCGTTAACAGGAGGACGTTGGAATGAAACCTCCAATTCAACTGTATGAAAGATGGAGTAGAGATGTGATCTTGGTCATATCTCGGTCAGCTTGCCATCACCGGGAGAGGAGAGTGAGATGATGATGTTTGTTGGAGTCGCCGCCTCTCTACCAACTGGGTTGAGAAGTGATGTTGCGGCCCGTTGTTTGGTTTCGCGCTACTTGCGTGTCCGGAATATTTACGTGCCAATGTGTCTTTCGTTCGGAGTTTGCTAGCAATCAGTAATATATGAAGAAGCACTTACAAACTGTTTGCACTACTGCTAGATGCCGTGAATGTTCACATGCCATGTACTGAAGAATTGCGATGTCACTCAATGTACACATGGTAGATCTCAGCCTGGTGGTTCAAGCTGTTGCCTAGCCTTGGAAAGTATACAATGCGGCTTGACGAAGTGTCCTTTATGATGATCCACAAGAACCAGCTTTCCACTGATGCCTCCTGGTGCCGAGCAAAATATTTGCACACGGCCGGCGCCGGGCTGCGTTGATGCCTAGGAGTGAGGCTGTGTGGAGCCTCGTCCTACCCGGGCCGAGCTTGTGCTGAATTTACCCCTGAGCACGCCGCTGATGCCGATGTTCTGCACAGCCACAACCCGGGACTAAGATGCTCATGTACAACAGTATGCGGGACCCAGAGTCTCGGGTCCGTGTCTTATGTTTCGGATGAAGTGGCTGTCTCATGGATGCACAGGACCGGTGTCACGTACGGGCGACAAATATCGAGAAACGAGAGCCAACAATAGAACGAGAGCATGGTATTTGTTGAGCGTAAATTTGCCCCGACACAGGGAGAACGCCTCGGAAGAGCCGTAAGGGCTCTAAATGGAACATATGCGGAGAGAGTAGTGTTTCATGTCTCTATACGGTAGCTGACGGAACAAGCTTAGTATTGAGTGTGTCACCTGTGAGTAGTTTTACACAGTTTTCCCGCAGTCTTTGAGTATTTCATTGACTACCATTCTCATGCCTACTTGAAGACGGCGAGAAGAGACCAGAGGCTCTATCAAAATATCAAATGAAAACCGCCAAAGAAAAAAAAAGGGGGGAGAGGGGGATTAGGTGCAAAGGCGTCTTGCAGCTTCACCTAAAGGTTCTTGAGGGTAATTCCGGTGGTCATCGCACATAAAGTAGTGTAGCTGGGTAACCAAGGTAGTCATGAGGGGCTCGTTATACTCATGAGGATTTACATCTTGCTGTAGGCAAGTACGATGGGCAGGGTCGAGGTAGCAAGCTGCACCTTCCTCAAGTTTGCGTAAGTTCAATCTAGATTCAAGAAAAAGAATTTAAGCCGCAATCACTCACAGGTTCTCAATCTTATTACCACCAATGTCACTAAGACTCATCCATCTCTTCTATGACTCCTTCAGGTTGAGATCACTGTATTCAAATGGCTCGACTCGTCCGTCCACCCCGTCATCACATTATGACAACTTTCTCGGTGAAGCATCCGTGCCTATAACAGGATGAGCTACGGCGAATTGTAGCCAAGCACAACGGTTTCCCGACGTGACACCACATGAGGATTTGCTCCTGACAGCTAATTGAGACTCTCTGTATCGCTGTACTTCGTGTACAGCCTGCAATACATCAGCGGTCATCCCGATCGAGGTCCAAAGCTGCCTCGGAATCTTTTGCCCCTGATGCATGAGAGCAACTGGCAGAGCTGACATGATACTGAAAACGACCATTGATAAAGGATACAGTCGATACCCAGTAAGATGATTGGCACAGGCGGATAGGGGTCAATTTCAGCCCCCAAGGTTGCCATTTCTTCAGAACGTATCATCTCAAGGTTTACGCCCCCACTCACACAAAGGATCATGTTTCCAGGTGGAACAGGCGCGATAGACGACGGTGACACAGAGCCGGGTCGTCCAGGATTTGACTGATGGGCGCGGCATGCCCGGGAAAGGACCGTTTTCTTTATGCGAACTCTCTACGAGAATAGACGCATTATATTGGTTTGAAGCATCGTGCATCGTTGGGCGACTAAGAAGGTGTTCAGTGGGCTAGAAAATAATTCAATGCTGTGCCTCGTTAGCCTCGTGGCCAGGAACAGAAGATCCTGCAAAGACTGCATAATGCAAAGACGAGGATGATTTCTCCGTTGGTGTGATCATGAGAGCAGGACTTCCGCTAGGTTCAACAGGTGCGCACCCAGGTTTTGCATGACCGATAGAAGAGGGAAGCTCTTTCAGCTACCGAGGCTGAGCAAGTCTAACATCTGCGAGAATGTCTGTTGGCAGTTCTCGCAGAAACAGACGGCCGGACCCGTTCTTGCTTCCATCACTTGACGGTGATACACTGCATGGACCCATCCGGATCGTTGGTGAGTTGTGGAAAACTCGTCTACCGTGCCTCAGGCAGGAGCTATCAAGCATGCAGAGAAAAGGGCGAGAAAATGCCTTGTCCAAAGCAGGTTGCGGCGCCATCGTCGAAAAGGAGAGGCAGTTCCATGGGGATGTTGGTGGGCCGGAAAAGGTGGCCGCCTGTCCTGGGCTGTGCGGGACACTATAATCGAGAGTGGATAAGAACTTGCTCGAACGGGCAGCATCGTCACAAGGAACAAACTGGAAGAATGGATGTCGCAATAGGGATCCTTGGGTAATAAGGTCGCAGAAACGGGTCGCATGAAGGGTGGCCGGGAGAGTGCTCTTATATGGATGGAGTTGATGCTGCGCACATTGGTTAGTGCAAGGCAGACGCTGAGCACTGTTGGTCCTGATGGATGGGATGGTATGGATGAGCTCGCCAAACAACCCTATAAGCCTCATTCTAAGGACGGGGGAATGGCGCTAAAGCCTGTATAGGGCACCGTCCGCACCAACAGCCTGGGCCGAATGCTACCAGGCCGCTTACTGTCCAATGAGACATATTGAAGTGGTGGCTGAAGGGCCGTAATCTCGGCCATCTTCTGTTTGTCGAACCCTGATCATGGACCCCCAACGCTCACCACGGTCATGCAAGCACTTCACGGCTGCAGCAAACATCCTGCTGGCTTCTCTACTCACTCCGCATTTGGCGTACCATAAGCTGAGATTCCTGACGGTCAAGTGTGAGCTGCTTTGAAATCATCATGGCGGCGGGTCGAAGGACCAATAGTTCGATTCCGCGTCTGGCTGGGTTCGAGGATTTGAGGGTGCATCATCAGCCACAAGCCCGAGAACCGGCTGTTGGGTATTCTCGTCAAGTCTATACATGATGGATGAGCCTGGTCGGATCCATGGCGACAATCGCATTGCCTCAATGTCATGTGGGACCAGACAGTGTGGGCGGAAGATATCTTCAACCGTGTTAGTGTTGTGGAGGCCCGTACCGCCAACGCCCTTTCAACGCTGCTTTGATGGCGATGCAGGTCCACTTGACTTGTTGGACGCTACAGAAACGTTGACTAGGGGTATTCGGAGGTACTATACTGTACTCTACCATCTCTGCTTGCCGTTGGTCAGCCCTGCATGCCAATTACCTATTCGTTTTTTATGACAGTCGTAAACCGGTCGACTCTTCACCCCATTCTTCTTCTCCAGGCTCCGACCAAATGACTTCGGTGGTCCCCTATGGAGGCCTGCCTCCTGTGATAAGGGGCGTACTATCACAAGGCTTCAGCACCCTCCGCAAAGCAGTAAGCGGTCGGGCTAGCCCGGTGAGATCTCGGGTACATCCCCAAAGATGTCTAAAGGAGCAATATGCTCAGAGACCAAGCAAGAGCTAGCCAAGTGGCGGTAGCCCCAAACTTCACATTCGATCCTGAGTTGGCTTCAGCTTGTTCTGTTGCTGCAAACTTCCAACAACCATTACAGCCCTGTCTATACCGCCAACTCCGGCTGATCATGACATCAGGCCCCTTTTGTCATTGCTCCTTCCGTCGGCAAGAGTCCAGCCACAACCTCTTTCTATAAGTCACCGCTTCTCTCATCTGATCTTGAAAACCTTTCAAAACTTATTTCTTCTCTTGCCTTGATGTTCCCGATGTCTTCTCCTCCAGCACATCGACTTAGTAAGCTTTCTCTTGAGAGCATGCCACCAACAACCCGGTCACAGAGCCAGCACAAACCTTCTCAACCAGGGAAGTCCCCTGAGGACGCTACCGATTCGGAATCAGCCTCAGACGATGGAAGTGAAGTTAGTAACTCCTCGATGGAAGAAGACTCCCCGATGATTGTTCGATCACCACAGACGGACTTGACTTATAACATCTCCAATCTTCATCCACAAACACAGGAGCTGGTCCGCCAGCTCTTCCATGAGACACCTCCGGAAGAACCACCGCAGATCGTTCTTCAGTGGTGTCAGCTAAGCCAGGAAGAACAGGGTAGCCACTTCTACGCATTCCAGATGCATGAGATTGTCCCGCGTTCGATACGAATAGGGGCTCCTGATAGCAGATACCCTACACCAAGATGCAACTGTATGCGTGATAGCAACCAGCCTTGCAAACACCTCATTGCCCTTCTGGATCAGATCAACTACCATACCCTGGATCAAGCTCCAGATCGCGAGCTAACTTTGACGCCAGCCGGCTTTGCTGCCGAAGCCGGTAATCCCTTTGCAAAGATCTCTGGGTTTCATCTTGAGATCCTGGCTGACTGCTTGCACTGCGATGTCGGCTCTCCTGAATCCAAAACTCAACCAAACCCATATCGAATCCAAGAGTCGCGCGAGATCCTAGCAGCAGTAGCTAAGGTTGACAGCGATGAGTATCGTCC